TGCTTTTTCCATTTCTTCTGTCGGGCGTCTCTCGTAGCCTCTTGCTGAACTTGTGTGTAGTTCCTGTCCATCAGCTCTTTGGTCTTCTCCTAGGTCTTCCTCAGATTTCGTCACGGTGTTCATCTTCGTCATCGATCGAAGAAAATGACCTCGGCTCTAGGCCGATATCCATTGATGATGACCCTGCTGATATTGGGCTTGTACAGGGCAACGGAATTCTTCGCGCGCTGCGTTTCCATGCAGTATGTGGTTTGACTAATGCCTTTTGTTTGACTTCGAGACGTTGTGGTGCGATGCACTATCTTTAGCTCCTGGTGCTAAGTGTACTCGTACAGTTTTTCTCTCAATAACCCGGGCTACAGCCCGACCGCGTCGAGAGATATTCTGACGCACTCCTTGAGCAATACATCTCGACTCCACTCGGTGTATCAGGAGAGACTTTTTGGCAATGATGAGTGTGTCGAAATTCCTGCCGATTCCAGCGTGGATTCATCTACTGTAGGTCTGACGATTCTGTTTTGTCACACATGTTAACACAGGAAAGCTTGCGAGCAAGCGGCGGCGGCCCTCGATATTGACTCGACACTGTGCGACGAGTTCGACGGGGAGTTTCCAAGCACTCGCCTTTCACCGCGGTACCCGCCTTTAGGGCCAAGGCCTCCGTTCTACCACCATCCACCGTCCGAGACCCTCGAAAATTGTTCACCAGAAGAAGTTTACAATCTACCTTCACACCCGCAACGCTGTTGCAACGACGACACTTCTGGAGCAATTCCAATCATGATGCCACATCTGACGGAGACCGAATTACCTTCCGAAGCTTCTCCGAGGCATTTGCTGACAACCATTGTGTTGCAAACCCCGTCTGAACAAGAGCAAAACTCGAACAGCTACGTTTCGGAGGCGAGTCATGGAAGTTTGAGGGGCGATACTTTCGGTACTAGAAAAGATGCAGCATGGCGAAGACCGGAGCTATCGACCGTTGTCGTTCACAGTGCTGCCACAACGGATGATGGTCGTGATGTTGTCGATGACGGGAACATCGGTGGTCTCGGTAGTCCACTACCCAAGCCGTCTGGTGTGGAGCAAGTACTTGCCAATAGGAAACGGCGGCGGCGTGCGAATTTCGCGGTGTCGTCAGCGCTGGTGCTGTCCGGCTCAATGGAGGACATCTTGTTGCCGTCAGTGTCCACGCCACCGCCACCACTTGGCTGTGGGTGTGGCGAGGACGACCCGGTGCCTGCTGTGTGCGATGCGATCCCGAGGTCAGAACTGCGGGAAGGGCCTGTGTTGTGCTGGCCATGATCGGTCTTATGTTGGGTCATGTAGACCGGTAGAAGCGAGCATGCTGCTTTCCTCGCCGATACCAATTCGTACAAAGACTGCTCCCATGGCTGAGGTACACACAGTATATTTGTGCAACCAACAATTCGATTTGTTTTTCTGCAATGTTCGTTTTACTAGGGTTTAAAGAGTCCAGCGCTTGGATGGTAAACAGTAACATGAAACAGTATTTTCCCCCTCCGTTTTATGGCTCTCTGCGGAATATGTAGGCCCACCGGAAGCTAGTAGCGAGGTGGCACGGAGTGTGCAATCCTGCTGCCAAAATCGCCGAAGTTGTCATGCATTCCGCAAAAGGTCCACGCACAATTGTTTCGCCTCGGTATGTGGTCGCGAATGCAAACGGGATCCAATCCCGCCAATCTTCGCTCTTGTATCTACTCTCATCAGCACCTTTGGAATGTATTCCATTTCACACCACAGCGATGACAGCGCTTCAACAACCGCTGATCCCTCCCGTCCTTGTCATCATTTGGGCTCAGCCATACATTCTCCGCGAGCTCTGGATGCTGGGATATTTCGCCTGGCTTGAGAGGTTTCCCGGGCGAGGACCAGAGCACCGTCGACGTAGAGGATCCAATGGAAAAAACTACCGTTGTTGGCGTACTTCAGTCTCGAGACGAAGAACGGATCAATCAACACACGAGCGATGGACAGGATGTAGCCGCAGACGCCGAACATTCGCTCGGATTCCACGAAAGTACGAGCTCAGCCACTGATCGAGGCTTACCGGTCGGGCGCACTCGGGACCTCGAGACTTTTGTGCCAGGAAGGAGTGGAGGTAGTGCTGCGATGGAGGGATCAGGCGGAGGACTTAGCATGACAACGTCGAGTTCAGAAACGGTGCTAAGCTGGAGCGGGGACCAAGAGGGAAGATGTACTACGAGACCAACGCAGGGTCATGGGCATGCGACTGGACGTGTTGCATGCAAAAACTCAGTCTACGACTGCAATACTTGTCGTAAGCAAGCACTGACCTTTGGAGAGGTACAAAGTCCACCTTCGCCGTTGCCCCCGCCCCCGGTGCCGCTCAGCCCCACCACTCGACGACACAAGTCAACGGTGACGTGGCCTACCCCATACCAAACCCTCTCCGCGCGGGAGAGCGCGCCATTGCATCTCTGCGAAGGCAATGGTCGAGAAGCGTTGGTGGAGTCGTCGCGCGCAGAGCGCACGCTTTCCAGGGACAAACACGGGTTGGCAGTCGGCTTCGCTGGCACGAAATCTCCGTGGTTGAGCCCTTGAAAACGGGACTTGGAAATGAGGCAACGCCGTTCGTATCGGCAGCCGGCTTCGCTGGCACGGAAATCTCCGTGGTCGAGCCCTTGATGACGGGATTTGGAAATGAGGCAACGCCAGTCGCATCGCCGACAGGACAAAATCAGGCGTTGGATCAGGATCCGTTGCTCTCTTCGCCTCCCGATCAGGCGTCTGAGACCCGTCATCAAGAACCCGTCGTAGGCCGAGAGCATGACAAGCACTGTGAGGCCAAGAACATGTCTCGGGCATTGTCGCTGTCGGAGACATGGGACACTTCACCACGTTGCCACAGGATAAACACGAGTGTGGCAGAACCATCGGTGCGGGATGGTTGGGGTAACGACTGCAGGGCAAACATGGATGGTCCGCACGGGGAATCGAAGACTCTCTCATCGGTGTTGACTGAACATGCACCGTGCGTGCCTGGCCACTTGGCTGCAAGGGATAACCGCAAGACGAAGGGCCTTCTGCGCGAAGAACACCCAAATAATGGAAGCGATGCAGATGCCACGGGTGACATGGGCACCAGAAGAAATCGCGACACTTCGCAACAGCCAGAAGGAGGCGCAAAGACTCCTTCAGAAGCCATCGTGCGTCGCTGCCTGCAGCACGCTTTCAAACGATGGCAACGTGCAGAGGCATCCGTAGCGGCAGCATCGCGACCTATGAATCATTCTGAAGGTCTTCGCCGTAACGATGTTCCGTCGTCGGCTGAGGGTCGTCAGCGTGGGGTTTGTGTTCCGGCTCGCTTGGAAAGCGCTGACAAGGTTACTCCGATGGCGGGTGAGGAGAAACCAACCCATCAAGCACCGCTAGGGATTCCAACGACTCGACGTCATAGTTTACATGGTGAAGAGGCCGGGCCGCTGAAGTGGAAGACAAACCTCCTGTCGAAAGACGAATTCCCGCCTCGCCGGGAAGAGCCTTCTCGCTTGCCGGTGGCGCCACCTGAGGTGGGTCGGAGACGTCTCTCCCCGCCAGTGGGCGCACGTCCCTCCGACCGTGGTTCTTTCCGGGGCGCACGTATGCTGCCTTCGCGAAGTCAAGGGGGATATGAAGAACCTTCCCGACGGTCATCCACAATGCTTAGGTTAGACAACGTCTCGGAGGAGGTTGCCACTCCAGCCGTCGAGTCAAATAGTTCGAGGCAGGAATCCGGTGGCCGAGAGGGCAACGTCGTTCCGCCTCCACTTGTGGCTTCGCGTTCTCTTCTCTCGGCACCCGCCGACGTTGGCGCGAAATGCTGGGATTGCCCTTACTCGCCTATGCCCGAAGCTAGCGGCAACGTTTCGTCAGAATGTAAGACGTACCAGACAACGGGCAGGACGAATCGTGAGTGGGAGAGAGGTGTGAACGGAGGCAATGGTTGGGTGCCTGGCAGGTTTGTTGCTGGCTCTCGATACAGTTTGACGGTTCTTGAAGGCTACCTTCACGGAGATGGCTCAGTACGGGCCAGACGAGTATCAAACGGCGAGCCTCCTCTCCCCGCACGGAGCTTTGATGTTTGTTGGCATCCAGAACAAACTGGTGGTGTGTCGACGAAGGAATCCAGTGCTTGCACTTCGACTGCAACAACACCAATGCCGTCATTGGTGTCGCATCAGCAGCGTCGCCCAGGGCATAACATCCCTGCACATTTTGCCGGAGTTGGGACAGGGCGGCGTGTTGCGGGCGCAGCAACATGTTCCAGAAGGAACCCTTTGCTACACCCTTGGACTGTTAGTAACCCTATCCTGGGAGTCATGGAAGTATAGGAGAGCGACAATTGTGCGACGTCGACGGGGTGGGGGGCTCAACACGGGTAGATAGACATTCCCCGTCGATCGACACGTGCACGTTAGTACGTGAAGAACTCGACAAGGCCTAGGAATGTTCTGGTCGGGCCGTTTGAGGGCCAGCAGTTCAGGATTGCTTTGGATAGAAATGTTTCTTGTGAAAACCGCTGCTACTAGACGAAGTATAAAGAGATGCCGATTCCCCATCAGTTCGGACGACGACAATCGGTTTGGGCATTGACGGCGCTGTTGCAGTTGTCACGATACGTGTTGCGCAGACAAATCTTGTGCTAACGAAGAAGGAAACCTCGCGCACGACATCGCGTTCCGATCGAACGGTGAAGCAACACTTGGGTGATACAGTTCAACAGCTATGGCCTCAGCTACTCGAAGGCGAACGCGGGCGACATTGACGGAAAGGACGTGCACCATTGTTGACCAAAAGCGACAAACTCCGACGTACATGTACCAATGAGTCGTACTTCAAGGTCATGATAGGGCTGACTGTTTTGTCGTCTTCTTGGCATCTCGTCTCTTTCGAGCGAAAAGGCTGGTGATGCCATCCGCGGGCGTGAGGTTCAAGTGGAGAACGTGCGGCTCAAACACCGAAAAAAATTGGCGTGAAACATCTCATGTCCTTGAACCAAAATAAACATCTGTACGCCATCTCGTTGCGACAGGCCGCCTCGTGTTCCCGAGCCCGAGGGCTTCTTAAGAACCACGTTCTTACTCGCACTATGAACGTCTTAGCACCAATTCCTCGGGCAACTGGATGTAAAATTCGCAGGTGGGGTCCAGAAGCGCCCATTGAATAACAATAACACGTGCTTCCCAACCACTGCGTTCTCCCGCCTGACCCAAACGTCCCCAACCGTATCCACGCAATTTACTGCACAGTATTGCCCAACACGTTCCGTCCAAACACAGCCAGTCACCTAGGCAATAGAGAAACACCATCACATTCTTTTTGGGCCCCGCTTCCGAAACGCCCCTTTCATGTACTCTGTAAGATCCGTGACCGATGGAGCGCACAGAGCGCTTCAACGACACCATTCCGAAGCGGGATCACAGAGGTTACTATTCGGAATTGCGGCGTTTTCGTTCTCAAGCATGCAAAACGTGGACGGATCCAAATCAGTTGCTGGACGCCCATGGCAAACACAAAACGCGGATGCGGAATAATCTCGCATCGGTCCCCAGTTTTGCAAAATCTAGGATGCTCCACCACGCCAGATGGGCCGCGACGGAATTTTTACATCGCCGCCAGCTCAAGACCGGCTACCAGCAATAACTTACTTTGAATAAATTTACTTACAACAGAGGAAATCCAGATATCCAGAAACAGCTCGAACAAACACAAACGAAGGCCGCCTGGACCCGGCCATCGACAGCATGGGGTGAGTGATCTGACTACACCGACTTTGAGCTGCGATGTCATCGACATCGCCCAAAGGTTCCCAACGAAAACTGCAAGAAGACCTCGCAACGACTTGACACAGACACATCACAATAGCCGAGAGGATACACAACCTGAAGCAATAGACCAACGCGGCAGCCGGACGAAAGTGAGAATCTTGAGCACTTTCGGTCGATTTCATGCTAATGGGGTAGTCGTTGGCGCCTCTTTTGCTGCGTTGCTGCTGCTGCCACCAGAGGAGGATTGGTGCTCCCTCTTGACATGCTTGACGAGAGTGTGGCGGTGGGCATAGGCCATGCCGCAGCCCTTAACCTCGCACCGGAAGCGCTTGCGCCCACCCTATTTGACAGCACCGTGCAAGGGGGAGGAGGGTCACGGTGAAACACAGAAAAATGGGGTGTACTGCACATCAACCATCGGTGTTACAGGAGAAGGACTCGAGAACACGACTAGAATTGCCGTGCGCGCATACAGCCGGGTAATGAGCATGTTCGATACGCCCACACACCGTGAAATAAAGATGTGCGAGTGGGCCACGGCAACGGAGTTCGAAGAATCGAAAAACCACATCACCATTTTCAAAAGAGAAGTACGGGGGCCTAGGCAGCCCATGGTGCTCAACTAGATTCGACTGGACTGAACGAAGAACCTGGCTTCAAGACCGAGCGGGCCGCATCGGTCGGCACATACCACCAACAGTGTCGAATAAAAATACGGTGTATCGCCCTCCCCTCTCCCCCGCCCTCATTCTGTGTCGCTCGACGCACCTCAGTGTGCGCTGTGCGACGGTGAGCGTTAAGGTTCCGCTTCTCCGTGAAGGCCTTCCCGCAGCCACGCACGTTACAATGGTAGGGCCGGATGAAGTCCCCGTCGCCCGCCCTGGCGTGCGTTGCTTGGTGAATCTGCATTTTGTCCTCCCGATCGAAAACCTTGTCGCATACCCCGCACCTGATGGCCAATTCAGTTAGGGGTTCGGTTACGGAAATCTGTTTGGGTGGCAATGACACATAGACTCGCCGACGGCGAAGACCCGGACCCTTTCTCCCACTCCAACACCAACCCCAATCTTCGGTTGCGTAGAGACCTTTGGCGGAGAGTACTGGTAGATACTGCGCGTGATTGGGCGTTTTACTGTTCAAGCACGTGAGTGGTTGGCATGAAGGACCTATATTGGGTCCTAGAAAATACTTGAAGAAGAAGGCACACACGCAATCGGCAGACTGCCCTTCCGCCCGAGGGGTAGCCAAAATAGCGGTCACGAGGTCGGGGGACCAGGACGTTACAAGCTTCGACTGAAAAGGTAGACGGCTACCCTGATCGGCCAGACCAAGCTTCCTGCACTCCGGGCGGTCGTTTAGCTGTGGAAATGCATTGGGGATGTATTTGACACCAACGCCGTGCCCGCAGACAAACAGCTTTCAAGAGCTGTACAGTCGCTCCTGGCTCCTGGCCTTCGCTGCTTATCGGCAACCATTCCAAAACTTGTGACTGACCTAGCCAAGGCTCTCATTCACTCCTGAAGCAGAATGTTGATCATCTTGCTCACCAATCCCCCAACCGCCACCACCCATCACCTCCCCCACCGGTCCAAAACCTCAAGCATCACAACAACTCTCAACCGTATGCGCAGGAAAGCCCCATAGGCCCTTTACATAGCACAGCAACAGCATCAATTCATCCTGTACGCCATCTCCTCACCTGAAAGGATGCTTCTCCTTGAGGTGGAGGTTTAGGCCGGACGCAAGGACGAAGGCCGCCCCACAGCCGTCGAACTGGCACACGAAGCGGGCCTTGTGGGTCTTCTCGTGGGCGGCCAGCTTGCTCGGCCGGTCGAAGAACCGCCCGCACCCAGCGTGGGAGCACCGGTGCTGCCTGCTGTTGAACCTGCGCCACCCCCCCGAGGCTTTGAGCGTTAGGAGCTTCATAGGTGTTCTCGGCACAGACTTCACCGTACATGGACCGAGTATTCCTTTTGAAGCACAAGATTTACCAACATGGACATTACGCCGATAGTTGATAAAACACTGATCTCGGAAAAGAGAGGGTGAAGCCACGGGCGGGTATCCAACCGTGGGGGCAAACTAGAACGAAAGACTTCCACCACAAGCATGAAAAAACATCCAAGGCACAATATTTAGCGCCCATGATCGGCTTGGTTGGCGCGAAGCAAAATTGCCCACCAAAGGCGCGTGACGACGAGTAAATACAGTGGGGCGCTCGGTTTAGCGACCCCCTGTCTAGGGACATGCCCTATTAAGCGACCACAAAGTTCCGTGGCACCGCCGCTCCTCGGTTGCAAAACTGCTACATAGCTGTTCGCTCGCTTTAGCGTACTGGCCTGGATAGCGACCACATTTCGTCGTGACACCAGTTGTCGCTAACCCCCCCCCCCTGTAAAACATATAGCACAGCGACAACGCGCACGGAAGGTGAAAAACCAACAGTGTTTCCTCTTTCACAAGAATACCAGGCAGTGCCGTTGAAGGAGACCAAGCGTTTCATTGAGAGGAAAACGAACACAAAAATGAAGCCAAGGCACGACGTACCGTTCCCGCAAGAGAACAACACTCTAGACATAACTACTGGCACAAGCTGCAAAAAACGTTCGAGACGTGCGCGAAAGGGCTACAGTTCGATCTCCACAACGGCGCCGCATGGATGCCTCCCTCACTTCGATTGGCCGTGTTCCGCGAAAAGGTGTTCCCGCAGCTGCCACTTCTTCGAAAACGACGCGCCGCACACCCCCAACACTCGTTGCTGTTGCTGCTGCTGCTGCTCCTGCTGAAGCCCCCGTTCTGTGGCACCCCAACCGGCCTCCACTCCTCCTACCGACCCTTTCACGCTTGCCACATCCTTCCCTTCATTCGCCTCCCCGCGCGCTTCAGTGACAAGTTCCTCTCCCTGCCGCTCACACATCGACCGCGAAGCGCCAGGAGATGCGGTGGCAACGTCCGCAGCGGCGCCGTCGGCTGCGCTAGCGGCAGACGGGGCTGTTCGAGGCGACACGACCACTGGGTGGTCGCAGGTGTACGGACGAGGGGCCTCGTGAATGGCCTTGATGTGGCGCTGGAGGTGGTAGTTGTCCAAGAAATTCCTCCCGCAGCTCCCGCAGGTGAACTTCCACCCTTGAGCCCCGCCGCCTCCGCTGCCGGAGCCATTCACCGCCCGATCCCTCTCCAACCTCGACGCCTCCAAAAGCGGAGCCGTGGTCGTCTTCATCAAGGGAAGCACGCGCCGAGGCGCCGCTGTTCCCCCTGCCCCCGGCTCCTCGAGCGAGAGGCCCGCTGCTGCGGCCTCGGCGACGAAAGCGGCCGCGCGTTGCCGGGTTTCGGCTTCGCTGCGGGCAGCATTGCCCACGGACGTCGAGAGACCGGCCTTCCGGCGGGCGTGGGAGAGGGTGTGTCGCTCGAGCTTGTCCTTGGTCGCGAACGCCTTGCCGCAGCTGACATGCCCCCCAGGGTCGCAAGAGAGAAAGGGTGGAGGAGAAGGTGTTTGGGTGGTCTCTCAGCACAGATGGAGGGGTGAATGGCAAGTAGAGGAAGGACGTAACCTCGACTCCGCTTGTGCTACCCAGTGTCTTGCTTTCGTGATTGAAAATGGGCGTATATTTCCTCCGCATTACCATGCTACGACCCTCGGGTTCCAAGCGCTTTTCTACAAGTACACAACCGCTGCAGCTTACGCGAGACACGGTAGTGTTGGCATTTGGTTTGGTGCTGATGGAGGCTGATGGAGGGTTTGGAGGGCGGAGGGGATTTCTGCCGCCTAGAGGCCGCTGTGTGTAGCGCACGGCGTACCAAGCTGATCGAAGCGTTCGCTTGCTACGAATTTGACAGAAACGCCGCACGATACGCTGTAGCTACCTCACTTACCCAGCTTCGCTGCAAACGAATGGTTTATCCCCTGTGTGTGTCGCGGCGTGCCGCGCCAGCTTGCAGGCCTTGCTAAACGACTTGCCGCAGATCAGGCATTCGTATCCAGCAGCACTGCCACCTCCCCAGCTGCTGCTGCCGGCGCCAGCAGACCATCGAGACACCAGTCGTTCCTGATGGCGCCGCTGTTGCTGCACTGCGGGTGCCTGTTGCTGTACTGCGGGCGCCTCGTCCTCATCTTCATCATCATCGTCTTCCTCGTACTCACTGCCGCTGTCGCTGTCACCGCTCGGTTCGTCTGCCTCCTCCTCTGCATCTGCATCCTGCTGCTGCAGCGTACAGGAAACAGCTGTGCGTTGTCGCGAGGTGGCCGGGGCGGGCCTCGCCGCCCCCGCATCCTGGTAGGGACGGCGCCGCTTGCAAGACCTGCCATGAGGCGGATCCACACGTTGCATAAGTCCTACCGAAGCCATGTATCTCCTTCTCCCGCACACGGTGGCAGCTGGAGAGGGCTGACCGCTGTAGAGGGTGGAGCCGCAGCAGTCTGAGCTGCCCCCAGCAGCCACGGGACAGACTGGGGGGGGGGGTCATGAAACACGTGGCCCCTTTTGATCATCAAGTTGCTGCTGGTACAGGCAGCCAGCGGCACCACTCAGCTGCTCAGGAGCCTTGTCTTCACCGACCAGAGAACGAAGAGTAATTGCCGAAGAGAGAGAGGGAGAGACACCAGAAATTCTGAATTGGTTGCCGTAGTGCGTGGAGGCTGGCTGTGTCGTCGGCGTAGCCCTGGTCTTGCTTCCTCGGCCACCGACATGTCGGGGATGCAAGTGTCCACGTTTCATGGCGTCAAGATCTACAACCTCTCGTCAGGTACGTAACCTGCTGCTTGCTCCTGTGCTGAGTGCCGCGTGCAGGCTGAGCCCTTTATTTCGGGCTGGTTGACTCTTCTTGCAGACGCCTCTCCTTGTGTATAGTACTGTTTGTTCCACAGTAGCCTTGTCTTTGGCTTCATCTCGCCTGCCTCCAAGCCAGGTTGTACCTCACGGGACTGTCAGCTTTGTGGCGCTGTCTATGGTCTTCGATGATCGAGGTCACTTGCCGCATCCATGGTGATAAGCAACAAGATTCGAGTTTTGCAGCGATAACTGAAACATGTGTTCGCGTCTTTCCTTCCTTATTCTCGCTGAAAATGTCAGGCTTCATGCTCATTCACATGCAGTACGCTGTTGTTGTTGGTTTCGTCCTAGCTATTATATATAATACAAGGGCGCTTCGCGGCGTACCGCTTCGCGGTCGCCGCTACAGTACGCTCGTAGGTTGAATGGCGATGGCAAGTGTGTGCGGGTGGAGTTTTGAAATGAGATAAATAATGCTGCGAAGAGGGAAAAAGTCGATTGTTTGTTCGCAGAGCAGATACGCACAATAGCTAAATTCATATGTTATGCGACAGCCGGAGGCAGAGTATTTATTTGCTCGGAGTAAGATTTTTGATTTTATTAACGAGGTCACTTTCCACGAAAAAGTAGGAAAATAGGCCATAACTTAACCCTTTCGTGACTGGGTTCTTTCTGGATCTTCCGCGTTTTTTTTTGTTCTGCCGGAATCGAATAGACCGCTGAGTCGTGAGCCACACATAACACACACGCTTGAACGTGCGCACGAAGCCTGGCACGAACAGATTCCCACACGGTCAACCGAACGCACCCCGTGGTGCCACAAAGGTTTAGTGCCCACAAGCAGCGGAACCCTCACCACGTGAAGACTGTGATGGGTGACTGATAACTACTGCTGTACTGCTGTGTGTAGGTGCTGTCGGAAAGCGGAGGAGAGAGAGGAGAGGGCGCCGTATTTCGTTACCCCAAACACGATTTCATGATGATGGCATACATGCATACAGCAGCAGCAGTAGACATACATCTTTTGCACAGCCGTTCTACATGTCACGCTACCCCGCCGCCGAAGCAGCACACTAGCGCAAGGCATGGCACCGCCTCCAATGCCAGTTGGTTGGGTGGGAAGTCGTTTGGTGAGAAGAAGCACACACGGAAGTACGGTTTGTTGGGATGCATGCATGCGAAACGAAATGAAAACAAAACGCCCAAGCAAGCGGCAGCAGCAGCACGAGTCGCGCGAGGGATAGACTACGCCTTGTGGTGGCAGCTGGTTGAAGTGGGACAAGGAATACACACACACTCACGCAGGAGAACTGGGGGAGAGGCTTCGTAAGCTTGGCCCTCAGTTCTGCAACCACATTCCCAAGGCAAGGAAGGGCACACAACACAACAGCGAGAACATGATCTTTCGTACCAGATAAACGACAGGGATTATCATGCATACTATCGTCCCTGAAGTCACGAAAACCCTCTCAACAACGCGAAGGCACGGGGGGATGTGCTGTTGCTGTCCCTTGCCAACGTGCGACGCAGGGATGTAGTCCGATTCCACAGCAGGGGTGTCCATAGCGCTCGTGCGAAAAATCGCGACAAGCAGGAGGAAAAACGGCCTCATGATCGCGTTTCTGCGTGCTGGACTCGAGGTCCACAGCAACGCGGGATGCAGGGTGCTGCGGAGCATTGCAACTCCCAGGCTTTCAATTTTCTGTATAGGGGACGTGCTGTTGCTGTCCCCGGTCGTTACTTTGTTTTTTTTCGAGCGGTCTAAATAGTCGTACCGTCGAGCCGTCGTCGATGGAGGTACCCACAGCGTACCCACAGCTCAATTCGGTTCCAAAATTGTCGCATATAAGAGTTATCGTGCATGCTAGTATGCACGGTTCGGGGGTGTAGTCACGAAAGGGTTAACATACTAAATAGATCAACCTCTTGACCACACAATAGAAGAAACGCCTCTGACTCAAAAAGAAAACAGAGGAGGAGCTACCCCTAAAATACTGTACTATTCTTGAGACATGAGGGGTTACGGGGTGGGGGAGGGGAGTGAGTGAGTGGTGTGCCGAATAGTATTACTGGAGAAAGATTCACCAAGCAAACAGTTTTTTTCTCGCTCTTCCCCCTCTCCCATGTGCTACCCATTCCCTCAGCGAGACGTTGTATGTACTAGTAGCTGAAAAAAGTTCGCTTCTTCCAGGATGTATGTGTGGTCTTCATATGTATGTATGTATGTGATCTGATGTACAGCCGTCGGTGGTGAGAATCGGGGTTGGTTGAGTACGGAAGGCGAGGACAAGAAGCAGCACAAATCATTACACGGTAGTTTTCCAGCACGTTGTCTGTTTTTATTATTTGCATCGACCGCGCTAACCGGCTGACCAATGAAAAGACGTAGTTTCGGTGCGGTTGAAAACACAACACATACTTTCTAAATGTCATTAACCGGGACCCCGTGAGCGGCGGCATGGGGGAGACCAACCTATTCTCCGGATCAACAATAGAAACGGTAGTAACAGAAGAAAACTGCACACACACACGTCTACGAAGTCTGCTACCTTGTACTCGATTTCGTTTTGGAGTGCGTTCACCATCGTCATCCTCCTTCCTTCCAACCCTATGGTCGTTATCACCGCAACTTCTCGACATGTCGCCTCTAGCCCTGCGTCGTTTGTGGTGTGTGTGTGTGTGTGTGTGTGTGTTGTTATTATTAGCATCGACAGCGCTTACCGGCTGACCAATCAAAAGACGTCAGTGCAAGCGGGTAAAAATCAAGGTCCCTGGAAGGGGGCCAAAATTCGAAAATGCGCAATGCGCTTGATGCGAATGCCAATACGACTCTCTCTACATGTTATTTCACGTAGACACACATCTCAGCTACACAAATGCCCTCGCTCGAATCTAGGAAGCCACTGATGCAAAGAGCGGAGGACAGCAAAAGGGTTATTTCAAGCCCAGCCGAAGCCAGGATATCGTGGTATGCTGCATCTCCCAATTTGATAATCGTACACTCCCAAGATCCAACAGTCATCGTGTCAGCAGCTAGATTACTCAAACAAAATAGCAACACATACACGGCCATAGCTCCACACATGCCCTCGTCCGAACCTAGGAAGCCACTGATGCAAAGAGCGGAGGACAGCGAAAGGGTTATTTCAAGCCCAGCCGAAGCCAGGATATCGTGGTATGCTGCATCTCCCAACGTGATACTCGTACACTCCCAAGATCCAACAGTCATCGTGTCAGCAGCTAGATTACTCAAACAAAATAGCAACACATACACGGCCATAGCTCCACACATGCCCTCGTCCGAACCTAGGAAGCCACTGATGCAAAGAGCGGAGGACAGCAAAAGGGTTATTTCAAGCCCAGCCGAAGCCAGGATATCGTGGTATGCTGCATCTCCCAATTTGATAATCGTACACTCCCAAGATCCAACAGTCATCGTGTCAGCAGCTAGGTGACTCAAACAAAATAGCAACACATACACTGCCATAGCTCCACACATGCCCTCGTCCGAACCTAGCAAGCCACTAGGAAGTCACGAGGGAGCCAAGTCCTGCTCGCAGGTTCTCTTGGCTTTCCTTCAGGTGAACACTTCCAGGAATTCAGTATCCGCAGCCGCCGCAGTAGTACTGTACTGTGTAGTAGTATTATTGCAGGAAATCCAGGTTGTACCCACCCGTTGTCCAAAGAAAGATTTGTGATTCCGTGAGAGAAGGAGATACCACCGCCGTCGAAGGGTCGAAGGCACTGTCTGCCAGATGTAGGCTGTGAGAAAGATGGAGCCACCTATGTGTTCTTAGCCTGCCCGCCCGTGAGGGTCGTGACGAGGCCGCTGTGAAGGATGTGTGTGTGTGTGTGTGTGTGTTTTCGTCCTTTTCATGATGGCGACAGTCCCCCCATTTTTCGTGGTGAGACGTGAACTACACTTTTCAGCAGATGTAGAGTAACCGGTCGCCCCGGTGGTCTCTAGTGGTATCCTCGTAATCCGCTAGTCGCAGAGGTCGTGAGTTCGAATCCCCATGGGGTGAAAAATCTACGAAATGTGCGGGTGAAAGCGAGACATAGCTGACAAGCTCTCGTGAGTACCAAACTTCGACTTTAGCACCGTTGACGAGGGAAAGGGGCGGCTGGACCCTTCTCGCGATAAAACATAATTCAGCACGCACCGCAGGAGGAAGGTGGGGCATGAGAAGAAATAAAAAGAAGAAAATAGCCCTGGTGTTTATTTACCCCCTCCTGTGTGACCCTGGATAGTTGTAGTTGTACGAAAAAATACACTGAAAAGTGTAGTACTCTGTGTGTGTGTGGTTTCGTTCTATTTATTTGATTATTATGGCGACAATCCCCCCATTTTTCGTGGTGAGACGTGTACTACACTTTTCAGCATATGTAGAGTACTACACTGTTCAGTGTATTTTTTCGTACAACTACAACTATCCAGGGTCACATAGGAGGGTATAAACACCGTTTTTTTTTTTTGCTTCTTTTTATTTCTTCTCATGCCCCACCTTCCTCCTGCGGTGCGTGCTGAAGAATTGTATTTTTATCGCGAGAAGGGTCCAGCCGTCCCTTTCCCTCGTCAACGGTGCTAGCGTCGAAGTTTGGTACTCGCGAGAGCTTGTCAGCTATATTTCGCTTTCACCCGCACATTTCGTAAATTGTTCACCCTATGGGGATTCGAACTCACGACCTCTGCGACTAGCGGACTACGAGGATACCACTAGACCACCGGGGCGACCGATGGTGTGGTGGGGAAGGTCGTCTGGCTCGGAGCTCTTGCTCTCGTCCATGTTGTTTGTGTGTGTGTACACTGCGTGTTTAGTAAGCAAGAGCAAAAAAAAAACGCTGTGCACTCCTCTACTATCGTTCGTAAGGCACGGTTCCGGGGGGGGAGGGGAGTGAGGGAGGGAGTGTGTCGAATAATGCAACTTGAGAAAGATACACCACGCAAAACAGCTTTGCTCTCTCTCTCCCCCCCCTCTCCCATCCATGTGTTACTCACCCCCTCGGCGAGACTTTGTACTTTTTTATTTATTTTGCAGCTGAACAAGGTTCGCTTCCTCTAGGGTATGTGTGTGTAAGTGTGGTCTTCGTATATATGTGATCTGATATGCAGCGGTCGATAGTGAGAATCGGGGTTGGTTGAGTACGGGAGGCGAGGAAAAGAAGCAGCATAAATCATTATACACGGTAGTTTTTCCAGCACGTTGTGTGAAGTGTGTAGTAAGCAAAGGCAGAGAAAAATAGGTGACAACTTTTTGCCGCTTTATGAAAGTATGGCAGCAGCTGCAGCAGGTAGTAACATTGCTATATATGCTCCGCCAGAGGGGTTTGGGAGTCAGGTGTGACTGTAGAAGTTCGTGTGTTGGTGCGTGTTGGTGGAATGCGGAGTATGTTCCTGTAGCCGCTCTACAAGAAACAGCAGCAGTTTGTAAAGTACTTCCTCCACGAAACGGAGGAACAAACAACGTGTTTCATGTTTTTTTTTTCTCGGGCGTGTGTGGTGTTGCAGACAGCTGTGCGCACGACACCGGCCGCTAGCCCCCCCGCTTTTTAGCCGGGATCGAAAAGAAGACGCACTGCAGCAGTAGAGTTCTTTGTCCCATGTCATGCGGAGACTTTGTGGCTTGGTTGGCGTGCGTGGTAATAAGGTGTGTAGCGTGTGGCCAGCGCACACCCACCACGTCAGTCAGCCGCTTGCCAAATGTGTGTATGAACGGCCTGCACTGTCAAGAAATCAGGGCGTGATTGGTGGATCCATGGTAGATATTGGAGACGCGACTTTCTGCCCTCGCTAGCGCTGCCCGCAGTCCGCCCCGAGAGCGCGCGGCACGCCGGGAGAGCCCTCGCAACGCAGGGCTATCGGTAGGTGCAAGTCTCGCTTGGAGGCGAGGTCTACGGGCGGAGAAACCGCGAAAAGAGGGCTCTAGGCTCACGCGAACATCAGGATTGCATTTCCTGCGATCTCGTGAGCCCTCAGCCCGCAGGAAATCCGTCTATCGGTCTATGATGGTGACAGTGCAGTCCTCCACATTTTCGTGGTGAGATGTGTGTACCACACTTTTCAGTGTATGCTGTGCACACTTTTTCTCACCTCTCGGGACTGGGGACGCTCAGGATAGCTTGTGAGCTTGTGCGTCGTTGACAGCGATCGTACTTCGCATCTTTGGTTTCGATTTATCCACGCTGTTCGATACATGAAACAGATGCCCGACATAACGAATAGCAGGCGATGTATATGGTTGAACTTTCGTCGGATTTTCGTGAGGGTAGCGCAGCAGCCAAGGACTATCTTCCCTGTCGGAGAAACGCGGCAGGATTTCGATCCTGGCTGCCTGTTTGTTGTTTGACATCTTGAATGCATGTAGTTTCTTTGGGAAACCTGTAGTTCCTAGGACAGCAGGAAAACCATCTTAGAAAAAAGCTAGTGGTAGTTCGAGACAGAGGTTTCATCCCCCTGCAATCTCCCTGCTTACTATTAATAAGAAATTAAACATTGTACAGAGGTGTTAAGAAACTCGTACGAGAGGAAAGTGGCTTTCGGGAGTGTTGGCACTGCTGCTGTAAGTGTAAATCCATGTGCCGTGGACGGCAATCACGAATTACACGCATCTAAATGATGGAATAAACTCAACCAACGTCACAAAGGCTCTCTTGACGTAAAACATCAGCAACAGCGGCCTCCCTAATCGCGATTCACTGCTTGCGGGCCACGCGCGTTCCTGGGCTTGCAGGGAAAACCTTGCCGCAATGGCTCTCCGAGAAGAAGCGGCGCTCCCTGTCGAAGGACGTAGAGTACCGAAGGAGGATCGAGCTGCTGCAGGACTTCGACTTCCCGACGGCCTCTCAGAAGGTCTGCGTGTCGCCGGACGCGCAGTACGTTATCGTCGCGGGCACGTACCCGCCGCAGATCAAGGGTGAGCCGCCCGGTGATTCCGGCTCGTCGAAGAAGCCAGGCTGCATGGTCTCGTACGAGTTGGATGGTCGGTCGTCTAGGTTTTATGTTCTGTGTTAAACGAGTGCGCGACCACACCCGTTTTTTTTTTGCCGCCGATGTTGCGGCACCACTTCAGCCTTAAAGCGGCTATTTATTTTTTCGCGTAGTTGTTTTCCGATTTCAGCATTTCTCCGCCTGGTTTAGACGTTGGTGATCTTCAAAGACGAACAAGTCAAAGGGCACGCACGTAGATTCGAAAATAGGTCAACTCACGCCTCCTTAGAGGGTTGCCTCAATTCGCAGTCGCTTGTCGTCGTCAGGATTTCTGAAGCTGTTCTACGCAAGTTTTCGCGTCGGATGAGGTTCCCTGCTCTGTTCAGTGTGCGTGTGTTGGCCTCGACCATCCTATTGCCAAGCATCCTTCCTCCCGTCCTCCGCCTTCCACACCCCAACAGTATTCGAGGTGGCCGACCTGTCGATGAAGTTCGAGCGCCACCTCGACTGCGAAGCGGTAGACTTCATGCCGCTGGCCGAGGGCTACGAGAAGCTCGCGTTCCTATTGGCCGACAGGACGCTGGCATTTCATGCGGGCTACGGCAAGCACCACTCCGTCCGGATACCCCGCTTCGGCAGGTCGCTGGCGTACCAGAGGGAAACCTGTGAGTTTTGACTTACGTGGCGGCTGCATGGTTTTCGTTTTTTTTCTTGTTTCCTTCCCGTCTGCTGTCCTTCCCGTCTGCTGTTGTCGCACGTAGACTGGTGTACAAAGTTAAACTCTACCTTATGGTTCTACTCTTCGCGTCTAAGGGGAGCCCGCGCTGGGGGTGTTCGTTGATATCCCAAGAGATGGGTCGATATGCAGGAGTGTTTCGCACAGATCCAAGTACGGTTTCGTCACGCGCGTAAACTCTCTTGCGAGTTGTGCGACGCTCGGCACGATTATTCGATGGGCCTACCGGAGAGGCACAGGGGCCATCGCGCTGATTCTGCCGTTACCTTTGGCTTAGCATTGCCTTCGTGAACAAGCACCAAGGCACGGACGTCAACGAAGGAACACATGGCCGTTTTTCCTCGAGGTGATAGTGCAAACCACTCCATTCAACTGTATTGCCGAGACCTCTATTTTGACGAGTTGGCGAAACGATGTTTGTATTCTTTCTCTCTACTGTACCTTGCCGTTGTATTCTGAGGACACCTCGTGGCCTCCCTCCCGAAGAAGATTAGTATATATTGTACGGCGGTGCCTCTGTCGACTTATTACTGTTTTTCACGTGCTTGGGTTTTTCTGCCAGGCGATATGATGGTGGGGTGTGGCGACGGTGAGATTCACCGATTTAACCTGGACCAGGGGAGGTTCCGTACTGCCATGACGTTGCCTTCAGGGTCTGCTTCGTCTCAGTGGTAAGAATGTCAAGACGTGACGACACGGCGCGGTATGAAAATGAACCTCGTATGTTTTCCATGTGTTCCTCGTCGCATTCGCTCATGTTGGGGGTGGTTGCGGAGGTAGTAGCGCTGCTGCTGCTGCTACTGCTGTTGTCTCTGCGCCCCCCCAGTCTGTATCGATCTCTCGTGTTGCAGTCGTGTTTGAGGAATTCGTTACGTGTGGTTATCACTCTCCACAATCGGCACACCGACACATCTTTGCCCCCCCCCCCCCCCCCCCCCCCCCCCCCCCCCCCCC